GAGACATGCATATATTCTTGAGATCTTAATGTAACACCTGGGGCTGGTTTTGCTGAGGATTTGCTTTCTTCTTGGGCCCTAGAGTAAAATCTTGCGTGTGAAGAGGTGCCATTGAAGTCAGGGGTCATTTTCACGCAGGGACTTTTCAGGATTGGGTCTATAGTGTGAATTTGCACCATTTGCACCATTTGGTTGCAAAGAGGTAATGACAGCTGTAGTAATTGCTAATTAGATTAGTGCTGTAGTTTTTTGGATGAATGTTTAATTAACCCAGCAATGATCAGTTGCATGTAATTAGCACTGTAATCTGCAATTGCAAGAATGTGTTAATTGGATCAGATTTCAGAGTCCTGCAAAACTCCATATTAGGAGCAAGTTGTGCCCAGATATTAACAGGAATTTGCTCTGCGGGCATCTCTACATTATAAACTCCTGACAAATAGCTCTAATGGTCAGGAATGTGAAGAAATATTATCCCTCACCAACATAGCTGTACCGACAGAAGACTCCAGTGTAGATGCATCTGTAGCAGCAAAACAATAGGGTACTTTTATATTGTAGCTCACTTTGCTTTTGAGTGGTGGTTTTACTGTACTGATAGTTTTGCCAGTGCAAGTACATCTACACAAGGAAAGGAGAGCCTTTTTTGCTGGCATACTACACAGGTGTTCATGTGCCAGTAAAGTATCTGTACTGCAGACTTAATCAGTGAAAGTAATATATAGCCTCTAGAGACTGCAGTATAGTTGCATCTGACCCTTTCAGAGGATTCTCCTTTTTTTTTTTTTTTTTTTTTACTTCGATGCTTGCTGACTGAACTGGTGTTTCTGCAATACAACTAGAAAATAAATAACTGAAACAACTGCTGCTTAATCTAATTGCCTCCATAAACTGTATCTTATGGGGGGACTATTTTCTTAATTGAGAATTTTAATTATATTAAACAATTAATTAAGTTGAACACAGCTGTATAGTTCTGTACCTCAGTTCTACCTAGGTATAAAGGTCAGTAAGATCTTTAACATCTATCTGATATTTTGTGCTGTACTTGGCACATCTGCATGTGCACCCCACTATGCAGTTGGTACTGAGCAGTCATTTAGTACTTGCTTCTGCACTGCACAGTCCTAGTGGCGCATGGTTAATTTCTGACCCTACTGCAGAGTAGTGGCAGTATCACGGTTCATGCCTACTGATGCTACATTGCCAAGCATCTCATATAGATGCGCCCACTCAGTACTTTGTCCAGAACAGTTATGATCAGTTGATATCACAACCACTTTTATCCTAGCCTCACAAAGGAAGGAAATTGGGTGTGGGGAAGAGGACTGTAACAGGACTAATGGTAGAATAATGAAGGAAAAGGACAGCACAGGTTTACATTTGAACACAAAATCATTGTCACACATAGGTTTTGCTGCACAATTTTGGTTCAGTTAAAACTGGCATCATCATGACAAGCATTGTTATCTTCAGAATGATTACAGGAGCAGGGATTAGAGCTCCATTACTGCACATACAAAGTAAGAGACAATTCTGTAGCAAATACTTTGCAAGCCAGGCTAATGACAAGATAAAGTAAGTTGAGACAAAATATGAGTCAGCACCTATATGAATCTCTAAGTACCATGCTCTGGCCTTCAGTTATCTTAAACTCACACCCTCTTGAGCACTTTATACATGCTTCAAAATTGTTGCGTC